GTACCCTAGACGCCAAACCAAAAGCGATTATGGGGGAAAAATGATGAATTAAAAAAAACATACACAAGAACGCACCATATACAAATATATGTATACATTATCATGTTTTAGTTATATTTACACATGTCGGCTGTCAAATCCATTTTCCCCACGAAAACAAACCCCTCCCATCCACAAATAATCATTTTAAAAAAAACCGGAAGGAGACCACGACGGAAATCCATCGAAAAGCACCCCGGGACCTCCCGCGCCCCGGGCTAGAAAAAAAAACCGCAGCCGCCCCCCCGCCGCCAGGACCCGGCGGCTAACCCCGAACAGCCCGCGCCCCAGCGAAAGGAGTTGCGGCGACGAGCCGCGTCCGATGCCAGCGCCGCGACGCTTCGCCGCGATGAAAGACGCCACGGCCGGTTTGCGTCGCGGCGCTGACGCTCGGGGTGAAGGGGGGCTGCCGCATACGTGTAAACATGTGTGTGTGTGTGTGTGTGTGTGCCTTCGTGCACGTGTGGGTGTGTGTACATGTGCGGTGTGTCCCCTTCTTTCTTCCACGGGAGTGCCGTTAATTTTGGGCCCAGTGCGCGTTTCATTGGGAGGACTTATCTTTACCTCGTTTTTCGCATTGGCCGTGTATTTTATTCTCGTGTTGTTGTTGTTTTCCTTGTGTGGTGCTTTCAAGGAAGGATAGAACCGAAAACATAGGATTGCACTTGGGTTTCCAATGAAGGCCGCGTTCCTAGCACAGGTTAGAAACGACCTCTTGGAAGGGGCCTCTGAATTGGTACCTAAGCACGGCTTTTCACATCCATCTTTGTTTCCTCTCGTATTAAGTGCAATTCAAGAAAATGATGCGTATAAAGGGAAAGAAAATATGAGGAATATCGATTTTAACAAGCTATTCCCAAGGGGGTTTCCTGTCGCTTTAGTCGAGTATATTGTGGGAAATACGAATAAGGCGGTACATGTACGACTGGAAGAATGTTTTAATAAGAATGTTATTCTTGATTCTGTCGCTAGAAATAGTGCGCTTTATCGAGCAGGGCAATACAACACCCCCGGTGCGAAGAATGTGGTTGAAGAGGCAATGTTGGCAAAGATTAACGCCTTGGCTCCTTACATTAGTCACTGGCCTGAAGCAGTCGCATTGGAATGGAAGCCTACTAATGCGCCGTTTGCTGTGAAAAATTTGGCTGAATTTGTAGACACCACATGCTATTATGCTGAACGCATGGAAAACCTCGGGGCGGTCATTGCATCAGGAAACCTACTCCTTCAATCTCGTCTCGGTTATTCAGTAGATCACATTCCAGATAAAAGAGTGAAGGGAGATAGAGGAAATCAGTCAGAAACCGATGAGGAGCGGTTTTGGCGCAGTTTTTCTTCCTCAATTCCTCTGTCTAGTGGTCCTTATATGGGAGAGGGACTGCTTAGTTACGAATGGTATATGAAGCGAACAAAGGTTGCAACTGTGTTTAGTTTGGCGATGCTATCTTTTGTTGGGGAGGAAAAAGGTCAATACAGGGATACACGGGCAATGGTAAAATGTATTACCGAGCGATTATTTTAGCGATTTGCGGATACTAATTCTTTTTTTTTACTTTTATTTTCTCTAAATGTTGGAAATCAATCTATCTACTCGATTTTGATTTTTCCATTTACTTTATTCTCTGCTTGTCGTTGGTGTTGTTTGTTCCTTTGATGATACATTGTTTTTTGGTTATCTTGCCTTCGTATCGCCTTGTTCTTTATTTTATATTTCCTTTTTTTTATCCCTTCTATATTACTTTCTTTGTCTAGGCTACCTTAGGGCGCATATTGGAATGTTTAGAGGAAAAGGAGGCGTGGTAGATCGCTATGATTGAACATTGTTCTGGTTGTCATTACACCCCAATCTACAACATGGTGTTTCTTTAAACCTTTGATCGCTTTGAATTTTATGGTCCCGTTAAGGAGAAAATGTATTTCTAGTTTGAGCCGATTCTTACTTTCTCATCCGGATTGCCGGAGATATATTTCTTCATTTTGATAGAACGGTGCCGTATTGGAAGAGCTATCATGACAAAAGATGAGGATAAAAAGGCATAAAGCTCCAAAAAGATATACTCAAACTTGTGTTATTGTGTTTGTTATGAAAATAAAGAATCTAATATATATATACAAATGTATAGTTTAAGGTCTACGTATATAATCAATTGTCTCTTCTTAGTTTATATTCCCAATGCTTAAAGCGAAGCTCTGAATCTGCCATATATATATATTGCTTAACTGGAATATGTGGATCATACATGGGGTTAGAAACCTCGTGAATTTTTCTTCTTCTTCTATTGGAGTTCTCTCACTCTTTCGCAAGCTTTTGATACTTCTATTGTTTCCTTTTGCTATTGTCGGTGTTAACTTGTGTGTGTGTGTGTGTGTGAGTTCTGTTAATTATGCCACTATTTTTGTTATTATTGCGTTTGAACTAATTTGAGTGAAAAAAATATCTTTTTCTCCTCTTTTTCCTTGCTTCACTTTTAGTCATTCTATTTGTTCTTGTTGTTAATTTACTGCAAATATCTAATAGCAAGGGATTTTTTTTATGGGTCAAAATTTTTACTCCCCCCTCCTCCTCCTCCCTCCGTTTTTGTTGCCTTCTTGGTCGACAGTTGTTTTCCTGTGCCTAGATCATTCTTGTTTCTGCCGCCTCTCTGCGTGTCATTTTTTTATTTTATTTTTTACTATCGTTGGTTGTTGTTTTTTTTGGGGTTTTTGCGTGCTTCATCTTGTTTGCTTACTCATATGTAGGGAATATGGCTGATTTTTTGAAAAGGGATTATCAGTAATTTGCTGCGCCAGAAGCTCGGCAAAGCCATGGGCGGAAGGCGAGGCGGAAGGCGACGAAAAGTACATGAACCTGCAAGGCCCAGGTGGAAGGAATTTAACGGGGTCAGTTAATGACAAGCGTATCTGCGTTCCACAAAAAATTGACCCAAAAACATTCTTCGCCAATGAGAGAACGTTCCTCAAGTGGCTCTCTATTTCCGTTATGATTGGACTGATGTCCTTGACGTTACTGAACTTTGGCGACACATCGAGTACTGCCGCCGAGCTCGCCGGTTTGGTTCTATTACCTGTATCTATTATCTTTATGGTATACTCCTTAATTGTTTTCAGGGATCGTGCCAACAAAATATACATGCGAGAACCTATGCGGTACGACGATACTCGTGGTCCCACGATGCTTGTACTTGTTCTTGGTGCTGCGATGGTCATTGCAACTATATTTTCAATTCAGCGGCAGTACTACAAAGCGATTACGCCCACACTTCGTGGAGGAGCAAGTTTTGCTTAATTTAATTGTTAGTAGATGGTCCATGTTGCATAGGAAGTAAAAAATCTGCTTTTATGAAACGGACAAAGCTAGGATGTATCCCTTATTCTGGGTAAAATAGTGGCAAATTGGAATGCTCTCTTTTCGAAACGGAATGATAAAGAAAAGGAAGGAAAGGCGACAAACCAAAAAATGGCACGACAAATAGTCTTGCCGAAAAAAACGAAAAAGGACGCAGGAATGTAGTGCCGAAGGAGAATTCCGAAGCCCAAAGGAACAGCAAAGGGGCAAACGTGCTGTGACTTAGTTTTCACATAATTGTACTATGACTGTATATATTCCTTTGTGGTTGTGTGCACACTTGCATTTTGGGGCATTTCTGTGTACCTTTGAAGGAATCTTTCTTCCTGCCACTGTTGCCATTTGCTTCTTGCGACTGCTGTTAATAGTTGCAAAAAATTTTTTTTTGTTTTAGCGATGGTTTTTAGAAAAAGCATGTCTGGTGTGAGGGAACTCGCAGGATATAAGACTTTGACGAGTAAGGTTGTCAATTGTTTTACACACTGGCCATCACGTGAGTCATTTGCTTTGGATGTCGTTCTCTCCGACGCGTGCAAAAGAGTCAATGTTTCTGTTCCTTCGGCAGCGAAGGGGCTTGCCGGTCACAAGTGGTGGGAAAAACTCTGCAACGCGTGCGCAGATAAGCCTTCCAGCTCAAGTTATGGGAGGGCACTGCTGCGTCAGCGTCTTGTTCATGCACTGTCGGAGCGATTGGCGGTAGATGAAGTTTTTCGCTTAAATGGGCATGAAATTGAAAAAGAAAACATCGTTGAACCAATAGTTGTGATGGGTTTGCCTCGGTGTAATGGACATCAGGCGGCGCATGTTTTGTCTCGCTCAGGTCTTTTTTTGGCTTTTAAACAGAGCGATACTTTTGCGCCCTCGCTTCTTCTAGATGTGGAGCGGCGTGATGCGTTTGATCGCCAGTTTAAGTGGTTTGCCTCTGTTTTTCCTGATTTTCGCTGCGTACGAACAATGAATCCCGATCAAATTGACGACGATCTCACACTGCAGCTCATGTGTCCAGAGTCGTATGCATGGGGTCTTCTACACGGGCTCGACGAATATCTGTTGGAGTGTCTGCAGGAGGATCAGACACCGGTCTACCAACATCTTAGGCGCATGTGTCAGTTGTTTCAATGGTATAGACGCTGTGGGCACTTTTCAGAGTGTGTCTTGCGCGATATCAATCCTATTAATAATCCTATCGAAGAACAAAAATACGGTCCTAAATCCCCTCTATTACAAACACAGTGGCTTCTATTTTGTCCTTTTGCCATTTTGAACGTTGAGTCCCTTCATGATACATTTCCCGATATGAAATTAATTTGGGTACATCGTGCACTGTCACAGTGTCTCCCATCATTGTGTTCATCGCTGGCAATTCATAATAGCCTGTACACGGGAAAGTCGCCGAGTGATTCTCAGCTAGTGACATTGGGGGATAAAGTACTAGGTACTTTTGGCTCTGGAACGGAATATGCCATTGACTATCTTGCGGATTTTGATAAGACTCGGATGGTGCACTGGTCCAATCGAGATGTAAAGCGGCACACAACGCGGTTAGCAACAAAAACTTTGCAATATTTTGGAATTGACATTGATCGCTACCGTCGTATGCAGGTAATCAACGCTCAAACAGAGTATACAGAAGTCTTTCGACCTCTGCATGACTCACAGATGCCATATTTTGGTTTACACAATGGTATTATTAGCGAAGTTTTTGACAGTTATATTTACCAATTTGAAGAGTTTGCGTATGAAAAGAAATTTGGTGTTACGGTTGAGGATTACCAACCATTAGCGGCTCCTGCGGATCAGCAATCCCTTGGGTCCTTGAGGGTAAACGGCGGGGATCAGCCTTTCGTTCCGTCGTTTGCGGATGGTCAGCCAATGTCTGATCACTTTTTACAAGAGGGTAAAGGGTTTAAGTGACACGCTGAAGCGGGACTCTACCAGGTAAAGAGAGGGATTGCATTCTTATCTCGCTTCCAATTATCACAGAAGTATAGTGATTATTGTTATTTATTTATTATTATTATTATTTTTTTTTTTTGCTCTTGCGCAGTTTGTTGTTTTTGATGTCGTTGTACGCCTGTGACACTTTTCCCCCTTTTCTGGACCCTGTGGCTTAGCTGTGGCATGTATTTACTTCCAGTTGTTGCTTGTGCTTCGTGGTTAGGCGGGGTCGCGTTGTAATTCGATATCTGTGTCCCTGTTCTGAAGGGACTGCGGGAAACGCTGGTGAAAGAGATGCAATGAAGTTCATGCCTTTATTTACTACTTACTTCTCGGTTTTCTGGGTCCGAGAAGGAACAGAAGGAGTAACCGGGAAGCTGCACTTTGGCTCACTCTTTTTAAGGGATGACGGAGGGACGTTTCGAGACCGTTTACAACCTTCGTCCAAAAAACTGGGACGGACGTCGTCATTGGACCAATTGGCACCACCTCTACGACTGTGAAAAGGACCACCTGGAGCGCGAGAGCTGCCCATTTCATGACCTGCGTTCCGGGGGACAATTTCAGTATGAGCACGGGGGAGGCGGGGGCTTCCAGGCCCCTATTCTTCCAAACCTCCTCAACGATCGCCCGACTGGGGATAGAATGGACTTTGCGAAAGGACCTGGGACACAGATCGGCGGTCTTGGAGATATTCCGTTGGATGTGGAGGCCGGACGCCCGCTAAAGCACAATAAGCACCCGGGAAAAACGGTGTTGTACACCAAGAAAAACCCACTAAATCGTGGGCTCTTTTCCACTTACCCGTATATGCCCGATCCACCTGATGAGAAGGCCGCGACACGTGATGAGAGAATGGGCCAGGGTGGAATGAGGGCTGGCCGTGTCGATGGCTTTGGCCAGGCGCCAGAGTGGATATCGGATCCCTACAAGGACAAACCCGACCGAGGACGCATCCATCACTTAAAGGCAGGGCCACTACGTTACAGACCGGAGGATCGTCCGCCTTGGATGCCGGAAGGAGAACCTGAAAAGCGCAAAAAGCGCACATATGGGGCCTTTTATGCCGGTAAACCGTGCGGCATCATCAATGATATAGAGTGGATTCCCGACCCACGCATTGAAACCGGCGTCAAGAAGCACGCACGACCGTTCCGGACGTGGCACACACGAACGAAGTTCTCTATGCCGACGCATGCGCCGTGGTCCACGGGGAAAATCACGGCTGAACCTTATCGTGGGCCAAATTTAGATGTGACAACCGCCGGATTGCCCTCCCTAGACACTTACAAGAAGGTGAATATGACACAAACCATCGGCAAGGAGGCGGCGCTCGCCTCAATAACGGCACCGGAGCCCGCAAGGCTGAGGTGATGATTATATTGGTTCTGCTTGTTTTGGTATGTCTTTTCTTTTTGTTTGTTGAAGTTTCGTCGTTGGACAAGCATAGCGAGTGTAGTGCCACACTAAGAGACGAGTCGTAGAGCACAATTGAAAGGCAGATTTCGCCTTTCAACAGCTGCGGGGAGTAAAAGGGTCGGACCGTGAAGTACAAACACAGAAACACACACGCACACAGGCGTTTTCTGACTTATGCCCTTTTAACTTTTCAACCACTTTATCTTACACTGAGAAAGTGACCCATTGTTGCAATTTAACTATTAATGCCTAAATTGACGGAGTCTCTCTCTTCTTTCGTGTGTGTGTGTGGCTGTGGCTGTGGCTGTGGACGCGTACGTCAGTCGTTCTGTCTGAGGGCCTTTTGGCGCATTTTCATCGATGTATCATTGTTATTTATTATTATTACTTTTTTTTCTCGAAGGTCCCTCGTTGAGTCACGACTACCAGGCGCGCACACTTGAAATGTATTGAAGTATGTAATTATAGCCTTGACATCCCCGCATATTTTCTTTTTTCTTTTTTTTGTTATAGGTGTGCGACAACAGCAAAAAAAAAAAAAAAAAGTTATGTGTTTAGTTCACATTTCTTTGTTGTGGTGGGAGTATGTGGTTTCTGTTTTGTCTGCTCGCTGCGGTTACCTCAAGTCTTGGGTGTCTCTGCTAGCAATCTCTGCTCTTCCCCCTCACTTTGATCTTTGTTGTTCGCTTTCCTTGTTTCTTTCTTTCCTGCGTCTGGAGTCGCAAGAGGACCTCGTGCGGCCTGGGCTGAGCGTTCTTGTCTCCCGTCGCATGTCTCTTGGGTCGGTTTGTCGTCTGCGCGTGAGAAGCGCGTTAGCGGGGGCCGGGGGTGACACCTGCGGCTGCTGCCGGTACGCGCGCTTCAGCGCGGCCTCCGCTGGCGGGGTCTCCGGAGGCGCGGCGTCTCCCTCCACACCGAAGGCGGCGGCATCCGCTGCACCGCCGTCGCCCACCATTCCACGGCGATGGATCGGTGAGTTGGCCGCCCAGGTGCACGAAAAGCTCTGCCTAGACCACTGGCAGGCGGCCATGCGCCTTCTCTCAGCCTTCCCGCCGGCGCCGCAGGGCGCGGCGGCCGGGACTACTACACCCCGCACCTCGAGCTGCGAATCACTTATTGCTGAGTTGCTCTATCAAGGCCACGGGGAAAGCGCCTTTGCCGTCTGGCGCATTGCCTCTCCACGTTTCAATTTTGCCCCCTCGCCGACGACGATGGTGCGGTTTGCGGTTTACACTTTGCTTGTGGATCGCAAGCCCCAGGAGGCCCTCGATCTTGTGGCAATGGCGACCCTGCCAGCGGAGGACGCAGCCGCCGCCGGGCCGCCGCCGGAACACTTTGCGTTATGGACGACGGTTGTTGCGGCGCTTGCCTCCTTCGACGACGCGACGGGCTCGCGGAATCGCATTGTTCAGGTGGAAGGAGAAGTGGAAACCGCCTTCGTAGGTCTGCTGCGCTTGTCACTCCAGCCGCTGCGGCAAGGAGAGACGCGGTTGGGCGTGGAAAGGCTGCAGCTTGGCCTACACGCTCTCGTGTCCCTGGTGTTGCGTGACGGCGGAAGCGAGGCACTGCAATCCCTTTGCTCCACAGCGTCCTTCGTGCTGCGTGACGCTCCTTCGCTTGACTCCCTCCTTCGCGTCGTGAAGCTTCTTTGCATGGAACCGGTTGAGTGCAAGTCGCCTGCTTTCGTCTTCGCTGACGTGCCTTTTCTGGTTGCCCGCGTTCTTCCACTGCCGTTGGTGTGTGCATCCGAAGCGTCCGCCCCGCTGCTGTCGGGGCTAGAGGTGTACAGGAGTTTCTTTATTGGCATGGATGGGCCTCGACCCTCGGACGGCGGAAACGCATCTTTTCCTTTTATTACCGCCACGAACGCTGCTGTGCACACAACGGTGGGAGATGTGCTGTTACGTCGGCTTCTGCAACTGAATGTTGAGCCGTCCTTGCTTCTTTGCTCCGTAGTTTTGCACGACATTAACACGACCAGCACGTCTCTCACGACGCGGCTGCTGGAATTGTCTCTCAGTCGTGATTTATGTGACACGCTATGCCACAGTTTTGGGCGGCAGTTTGTTTCTGTTGCGAAAAGGCTGGTTCAGGAGGCCTCCTTGCGTGGGGCCCGGCCTATGCCTCTGCTGGGGTTTGTCTCACGGGCAGTTGGTCCGTTTCTAAGGACGGATGTGCGGCACTACGAGGCAGCGCCACACACCGCCGTGAATGGCAGTTGCATTGGTAGAAGCATTATTTTTTATATTGCTTTGCTCGCCAACTTGGTGGCGGAGGTGCCGACGGCCGAGGTGACGGAGTGGCGGCGTTTTTTGGCTCACGTGACGCGTAAAGTCGTGAAAGGCACGGACCACGGCTGTCGCGCGGCCATCTCCCAGGAGCTACGGCTACAGCTCCATCTGCGGTGGTGGCTGCCGGAGTTGTTGACGCTGGTGGATCCCACACGTGACTGTCTGTTGTCTGCGGCACTGCAGCATGCCGTTCCCCCAAGCTCGCTAACTGAGTGGGACCAAACGCTGAGCGCAGTGCTGCGCACGCTGCACAGAAAAGAACACGGCAATATGGGCGGCAGCAGACTGTGCTGGGCGTCCTTCGGCAGCGCGGCTGTGCAGGACGAGCTCAACGCCGGCGAGGTCGCGGAGTGCTCGCATGGTGTTCACCGGCTGCTTGTACGCCGCCTCGTCCGCTGGGAGTGGCTTTTGAAAGCCCTTTGGGAGTTCACCCGTGACACCTGTCAAGCTGGTCGTCACAGCACGTGGAAGCGTCTGCTGGACGTCTGCGCCGAGACGCTAAGTCGCTGCAGGGTGTATCACCGCCACGACATCGCGAAGGAGCTCATAGAAACCCTGCTTCTCCCCGCCGCGCCTTTCCTGCCGCCGGCCGCAGAGCCGTCTACCAAAGGCACTTGGTGTGGCGCGACCCTCATTGGCCTGCTCATCCGTGGGCCAAGTGAAATTTGCGTGACAGACGGTACACTTATGGAGCCACGCTGGCGCCTTGTGGACGAGGTGTCCCGTTGGATGCCTGTCTCGCAAGGGTGGGACTGCATGCGAGACTTGCAGGCGTTGTTGCCGCGTGGCCCACACGACGCGGCGCACCGCTTTCTGTCCCTAGAGCACCTTATAATTGATCTCTCAAGCGGCGAGGGGAGGGATGCGGTGCCTGGCGCCGGTGAACGGGGGCGGGTGGGTAAGGTTTTTGAATGGTACGAGGAGGCCTGCCGCGGCGACCTCTCGCTGCGAACGCCACAGCTGCTTCTTCCACTTGCGCGAGCCATGCGTCGGGCCTCGCTTCCGGAGTCGGTAAGTGAACTGGTGAGGAACACGTTTTGCGATATTCGACGCGAGTTTCAGGCCCCGCAGCCTGCCTCGACGTCACGGCTGCTGTTGGAGGCGTTACTCTTTTATTCTGCGCAGCTTGGCTTGGCCACAGCCCGAACGCGGCTTGGTGTGGGCGCAGACGCCCTGGTGGAGCTCTCCCCCGCCGCCTATGCCGGCGCCAGGGGCATGGTCGCCGCCTTTGCGGAGACGTACATTCTTACCTTGTGGCAGCACGACTGTTTTCCTGCTCTGGACGCGATATTACTGAAGCCGGCCGCCCAGAATGCGGAGCCGACTGAGTCGCCATCGTCATCAGCGGCTGTTCCAAAGGCCATCATCTGCGAAGACTATTTTGTCTCGGCCGAGATTGCCTATCTTTTACCAGCGGCAGAGCGTGAGGCGTTGCGGTTGTTTTTGCTCCTGGCCTTTGCACAACGCTGCGATAGTTTCTTGTATACATCCGCCTTGGGGCGACTTCCTCGAAGCAAAACCGATGCTGCAAAAGTGGCCGCGTTTGTGGATCGCCTTGTAGCACAAGAGCCCTCTCTCTTCGCCGCGCTAGGCGCTGTCGCACAGCGTGTGGCGCAGGGGAAGTGGCGCTTAAGTGAGGCCTGTGCCTCCGTTGCCGCCTCGCATGCGAAGGCTGAGGCGAAGCAAGAGGCGGTCGACAGCAGAGGCAGGGGCAGAAATGAGGTGCGTACCATCCGGGACCTGAATCGTTGCATTGATAACTGCGATTGGGTGACCGCGTTGCAGGCGACTCCGCACGTCCTTATCGACCCCCTCCACGTTGCGCGCAAAGCGCTGCTCGCGTGTGAAAAGGCTCCAAAAGGGATGGCCTGGCAAGGCGCAATGAGCATTTTTGCCAACTCGGAGCACGCGTGGAAGCAGCAGTCATCGGAAAATTCCCTGGGGCCATGGCAGGCGGCGGAATCGTTTCGTTTTCGTGCTTCCATTGGGATTCAGGAATGCGGGCGTATAATGATGATTTTGGCGGATGCCAGGCGCTGGCGCGAGGCACTGCAGGTATTTGAACTGCTTGGTCCCAGCGGAATGGACGGCTTCACCTTTTCCCAGGCCTGTTTCGCTCTCAGTGCCGGTAGCCACCCAGAATTGGCCATAGACTTGTGGGCGACGTGGCGGGCGCATGTCGGTGACACCGTGGAACCGACGGCGCAGATGTGCGGGCACTTTCTGCGGTGCGGCGTGGCGGGCAACACAGCGGTGGCAGACGCGGCGTGTGTGCTGCTAAAGCTGGCCCTCCACGCACACGCGTGCCCGGAAGTGAGGAGAAACGCGGCAGGTCCGTCCTCGTCGGCGGCGGCTTGTACGCCAGGGACGGCTCTTCCGCTCTCTCTGGAGGAGGGGGAGGACACAATCATCGCTCTCCTCCGCGATCGCTGGCACGAGAGTTGGCAGGAGGCACTGCGGGTGGCCCTCGTGAGTGAAAGACCCCGCATCATTCACGCCGTTGCCCGGAACTCGCCCAGCAACTACCACGTGTACGAGGCCGTTGTGCAGCAGGCCACGCGAGACCGTCGACGCCTGTCGCTGGAGGAGAGATGCACAATTGCGGGGCACTTGGACCTGAAGACCGCGTTCGCTGCAAAAGGCAGCTCCGTGGGCGGCGGCGAGGACCGTGCCGCGCGTGTGCTGCAGGAACTCTTGGGCGACGAAGATGAGGATTAAACGGTCGCGGTTGAAAGGCATCCATGCATGTTTCAAATGCACGCGTGCGGATATTCACAGATCTGTTTACACCTAACTACCATATTGCATAAAAAAAACAGTGGGGGGCGGGAGAGGGAATGCACGTTTCAACAAAGAAAAATTTACGTATGCCTCATTTCCAAACATCACTGCTTACATCAGGAAGCATCGTAGTTCATTACACACATGCATGGATGCGTACACAAATATATGGTTGATTTTCTTTCTATGGTCTATCAGTTATTGTTGGTGTTGGTGTTGGTGTTTTTTTTCTTTTGCCTTTTTTTTGCTGTTTAGCCTCTGCGCGTGTGCGTGCGTGTGTTTGTTTGTGTGTATGAAGCGGGGGGTACTCACCAGCGTTTGCAGCATCATATTGTGTGTATTTTTTTTGTTCATTTGCCTTGTCTTTGTCGTTGCTGCTGTTCGATGCCGTTTTTCTTTTTTCCCCTCAATATTACTTTGTTTTTTCGGGGGGGGGGGGAAACTCTCTTGTGTTCTGTGCGTCTGCTACTGCTGTGGTTCGAGGGGAGGGTTCATGGTAGATGTCCAGTGAAGCGGCAATGGAGGAGCAGCATAGGGCGTATCGCCCCGATGACCCGGAGTTCTACCTGCAGGAGACGGGGCAGCTGAGCCCTGGCGCCGAGTTGGCCAGCGTGCTGGGGGCTATTGTGTTCAGCGCTGGCCGCCTTGTCGCCCTGAACTGCCTGTGGGCGCCGGTGAATCGGCTCTACCTGCTGCAGTGTGCGGAGGGGGGACTTGTTGAGGGTGGGCGGCTCCCACACGGCGGGTTTGGCGGGATTCAGGGCTGTGTCCATTACATACTGAAGAAGGAGGGAGCCCTGGGCTTCTTCCGCGGCGGCCTCACGGACACGGTGTTGTCGATGCCGGCGTACCTCGTCCGGGTCACCGCAGTCCTCTGCACGCTGTGGCTGCAGCAGCGGTTGGCGGCTGCCTCCTGGACTGCAGCGGTCTTGCTCGGGGTGGCCGCACCGGGGCTACGCGTGCTGCTTACGGCGCCCATTGCGGGGGCCAAGAACACGCTGCTCTGTAACTACGCCGCCGACATCGTCGCACCCAGCGGCGGCGCGGCGGCAGTGAACGCAGAAGCGAAAGAGGAAGAGGCGTACTTGTACTGCTCGGCGGGGGAGGCGGCGGCGGCTGTGCGCAAGTGCTGGGGTTGGAAAGGGATTTTATTCAGGGGGTTGGACGTGGACATCGCCGCCGTCTACGCACAGAGCCTGACGTTGCAGCTGATAGGACGGTTTCTTGCGCCCAGCCTCGACCAACTCATTGGGGAACAGACCCAGCGGCCTTGGCGGCAAGCTGCTGCGGCGGTCACCGCCACCATTGGTGTGCGTTTCATCTGCAGCTTCTTATTTCAGCCCTTTCAGGTCATACGCGTGCGCATGACCCTGCTCACGACCCGCGCGAAGCAGAAACCGAGGCGAAGTCGCTGGTTCTGGCACTACGCCCGAGATATGCTGCATCAGGACGGCATTACCGCCTTCTGGGCCGGTTTTCGCATGCGTTTCCTGCTTGATGTGGCCAGCATTCTCTTTGGCACCCTCGTAGGGTATTGAGGCGCCCAAAAAAAAAAACGCATGCGCAACCTAGCATGTTTTCCCTGGCCATCGGTTTTTGAGTTCGCCATTATTATTCTCGTATGTTTGTTTGTTTGTTTTTACCAAACACACAGCCATTGTGTCTCTGTGCGTGTTTTCGGGGCGTTTGCTGTTTCTAGGAGCTGCCTACGTGTGAGCCTATGTGTGTGTATATATATATGTGTGTCTGTGTGTATGGCTGCCAAGGGGAGAGGGGGCGGTTGCACAGAAGGCGCGGGAGAAACCCAAGAAGAAGGCGGGGCGTGTGAGTGTGAAGCGGAAAACGAGTATTGCATGAATAGTTGTTACTAATAAAACGAACGCGTCTCTGGGGGGGGGGAGGTGCAAATTGTGTGGCTCGCAGAGCTTTTGCGTTGGCCATTTTTATACACCTATTTATTGCTGTCTGCGTGTTTGCTTTGGTTTGGTTGCGCCTTGACCGCTCCTGCTCGTATTGCCCGTGTTGCTGTCGCTTTGGCGCACAGAAGCTAGCGGACGGTCAGTGAGAGAGGGAGAAAAGGGAAGAAGCAGGAGAAACTAAGAAACGAAAAGAAGAAAGAATGGAAGAGAGCCAGCCCTACGGTTATGCGCCGTCGTCAGGCGAGGTGATGATCGACATGGCCGCGTCTCTCTTTGGGGTCGTTTTGCAGCGCGCTGTCATGGCGCCGTCGTACCGCGTCACCGTCCTGGCGGCTGTGGAGGGGGAGCTGGTGCGCGAGGGGCGGCTGCCGCCCACCGGGTTCGGCGGCATCGTTGGCTGCGTGCGGCGCGTCTACGCGAAGGAGGGCCTCAGGGCCTTCTTCCGCGGGTTCCTGACGGACGCCGTTCTCGCCGTGCCGTCCGCGGTCATGGAGGAGGTGAGCTCGTCGCTGGTGTCAGGGGCGTTGGGGGCGGTGCTGCCCTACGATAGCGTGGAGCGCATGCCGGTGTGGGTCTACGTCTCCCTCTCGCTCGCCTCCACCTCGGCAGCGGTGCTTCTGGCCACGCCGGTGACGGGGATTCACAACACCATCGTGACCAACTACGTGGGCGACATCGTCGCGCCCCACGCCGCGGCCGGGAAGGCGGAGAAGGACGCCCAGCAAGAGGCGACGGCGGAGGAGCGTGAGGAGGCCGCGGAAGAGTCGTACAAGTACAAGTCCGCGACGCAGGCGGCGGCGAGCATCCGCAAGCGCTGCGGATTTCGTGGGTTTTACTACGGTGTTGGGCTGGACGCGATGGCTGTGTTTGCGTACCGCGGCACGTACTATTACGGACTGCAGCTTCTTCCGGCTGTGGTGCAGGAGCAGTACCCGTACGCCGTCGCGCGCGTTTTGGCCGTTGTGGCCGGATGCCTCACGCAGCCGTTTGAAGTCGTCACTCGACGCATGCAGCTCACCGCGTCCTCGGAGAAGGGGAGGTACAGGAGCATGGTGGACTGCGCCCGCACGATTGTGGCGGAGGAGGGCTACATCGGACTCTGGGCGGGCCTGCGGGCGCGGTTGCTGGTGACGTGCGTTGGGATGGCCGTTGTTGAGCTGCGCCGTTTTCTTTGAACTGCGGCCGCAGCAACGACGGCGAGAAACGACGTGTGCGGAGGGGCGCGCGAGCGACGGGGAGAGAAATGTGACTCGGACTCGGTGAGGGTAAGTAAGCAAGCAAGGAAAAGAGGAGGGCAGGAAGGGAAAAGCAGGTGAAGGGTGTGAGGGGAGGCGAAATGCGGTGTCTTTGATCCCTGTACATTTCCTTTCCGGGGGGCCTGTAGCCGTTAAGAAGAACGGGGCGGGGGAGGGGAAGGGAGCTGCGCCGCGGACGGCGCCAACGGTGCGTGCGTGTGTGTGTGTGTGTATGTGTGTGTGTGTAACGAAGGCGCTGCTGCGAAGAGGAGGAAAGGAATAGAGGGAGCGGGGGCGGCTGGGGCACGAGACGTGGGGCTGCCGCCATTTTATCCCCGTATTTTTTTTTTCGTCTTATGCTCTCGCCTCCTTCTTTTGGCGCCTTCAAAGAGAAAGTTGTCCTCCTCCTCTCCGCTTCACCCTCTTCTGCCTCTGGCGGGACGTTGGAGGCACCCGGTCGGCCTCCGCTTCCTCCTCCTCCGCACTGTACGCGCATTTTTCTCTTCTTGTTGTTGTGTTGTCCTTCGCCTCGTGTTTGGCGTGTACCGCGACCCGGTTGCCTGCCGCTCCCTCTTTCTCCCCCTCTATCTCGCTGTGCAGCTGCGCGCGCGTTCGTGCACGTTGACGCCCCGTCCGTCTCTGAGGTCACCCGCCACAGTCAGTCTCTCCTCTTCATTTTCATTTCCTCTTCTTTTTCATCGCCTCTTGCCCGCGGCGTCACACCCGCACCCGCGTCTGCCTCCGTGCGTGGGACGCCGCCTGGTGAAGTGCAAACGCGTGCGCAGGGGAGGCGGGCGGTCCAGCGACGAAGCGTGAGGGAAGTAGGGGAGAAGGGAGCCATGGTGAGCAAGTACCGTCGTCTGCTCCAGCATGACGCCCGTGGGGAGAATGACCAGGAAGACGGGGAGGGTGAAGATGTGAAGCAGAAGCAGCAGCAGATGAATTGCCGTTTGCAGAGGACCTCAGTGCGGAGCTGTGTTGCTGCTGCTGCTGGGGAGGAGGAGGAAGAGGAGGACGGCATTGCCCTAGACAACGTGCATGAGGAAGCTGCAACGAAGAGGGAAGGAGGAGGCAAAAAAATGAAGTCTGCAGACGCAGCAGATGCTGCCACAGGCGCGGCTGACTCCGCGGCTCGCCGGTTTGGAAGAGGGCCAAAGGAGGGGGATCGTGCGGGGATCGCAGCGGGGGATGCTGAAGAGGCCGCGCGGGGGCACACCGCGCCAGGGGGGCGTGACACGAGGGATCGTCCCCGTAATACCACTAATAATGATAATGAGGCTGTGGAGGACGGCGAAGGCGAAAGAGAGGAAGAGGAGGGAGAAGAGGCTGAAGCCATAGAGCACGAAGAAGCAGAAGAGGAGGAGGAGGAGGAGGAGGAGGAGGATGCCGAGGAAGCTGCAATGACGGGGAGTAGTGGTCCGCGGTTTTATTCGTGCGACGCCTGCCCGCATGCCGTCTTCACCACACACGCCGCCCTGCTCTCCCACGCGGAGGAGCGGCACGCGGAGCTTGTGCCTGATCACGCGCGCCTGCACCGCCTCGCCGAGAAGGTGAGTAAGGTGTGGGCGCGGGCTCTCAAGGCACGCCGCGATGCTATTGCACTGTGGGGGAAAAAGGTTTTTGTGGTCGCCGCCCAACGTGATGCGGGGGAGGCTAAAATGCAGGAGGCCCACCGAGCCCGTGCGCAGTTGGAGACAGTCGTGCGTCGCTGGCACGAAAAGGCGCGCGTCTTTATCTTTGGCAGCTCCGTCGCGATGGGGGTGTGGGACGGCATGGCGGACATCGACTTTGCCGTGGTGGATGTGGAGGCCCTGGACGCCGGCAACTGGCCGCCTCTCGAGAAGAACGCTGTGCGCTCCATCACGGAGCTGCTGCGACGCGCGGGGTTTTCGTTTGTCAACCTTGAGCCCATTAGCCACGCGCGGGTGCCGATCATCAAGCACCACGCATCTTCGCCAATCCTCACCGTGGCGCGCAAGGACGCCGAGGACGTCGTGGCTCGGAGTGTGCGGTTTGTCCTAAACGCCCCCGCCTCCAGAGAGGATCGTGTGATGTTGGAGGGAAGCGTGCGGGACGCCGTGGGGCCCGCGGGGGTGCAGCAGGTGTGGTGGAATCGCACGGGGGATGTAATGTCCATGACGCTGGACAGCACCACGACGGCCATTCGGGCGGCGGTGTGCTCGCCCGCCTTCGTGACACCCGCCCTGCGTGCCAAAGTGCAGCCGGTGCACGACGAATGCCGGCCGGAGTTGTACAACGTTGACTTTGACCTCAGCTTTCGCGCGTTTGGCATTCGCAACTCCAACCTGTTGCGCCAGTACCTGCTGAGTCACCCGTGCGCCCGCCCCGGGGCCATTGTGCTGAAGGACTGGAGCAAGACCAGCGGGGTCAACAACTCCGTCAACGGGTACTTTACGAGCTACGCGGTCAATATTATGTGGATTTACTACCTCATCCAGAAAAACTACGTCCCCTACGTGGATCCGCTTGACATCTCGGCGTCGTTGGTGAATGAAACGAACTTTGACCCCAAGTACACCCCCATGCTGGACCCGGCACTCACCCCGGACGAGCTAAACGTCTTGTACGAAAACGCCGGCAACATGTTGGTGGGGTTTTTCTACTTCTACTCCTTTGAGTTTGACTGGGAGCACCACGTCATCTCGCTCAATCGCCCCGGCGTCACGACGAAAAAGATGCTCGGGTGGCACGTGGAGGATGTCGTGCCGCCCATGTCCTCCTCACTGGGCGGCGGCGTCAATAGCCTCAATGGCGGGGCGAGCGGCGGCGGTGTCGCCGCCGCCAAGCGACACCCCACGCGGTACGAGCTGTGCATCGAGGACCCGTACGAGGAAAACCTGAACCTGGGTCGCCACATTGGCATCACAAAGTCGCTGCGGGTGCGTACGGAGCTCTACCGTGGGCTCCTCTCGCTGTTAAAGGACGGGGAGAAGGAGTCCTGCGTCTTTGCCTCGACAGACCTGGCCAACGCCGCGGACGCCGCGGGGCCGCTCTCCTCGAAGCTCCCGGTGCGGGCGCTGTTTAGGCTCATGGCGCTGACAACGCAGGCCATCGCGGTGTCCAAGCGCCTGTCGAGTGGGCGTGTCACGAGCAGCGAGCTTGCTGGCGACGGCGCCACGCGTGGGACGACACCCGACGCGTCGACCGCGTCCTCAGCGCCGGCCTCGGCGGGCGTCCCCGAGAAGCAGCTGGAGAAGATATTTCTTGAACAGGCGGCGTTGGAGTACCAACTCACGCGCAAGGTGTGGAACTGGCATCAACTCATCCACCGCCTGGGGTACAAGATCCACCGTGGCCATGTGGTGCCGCGGCGGGAGTTGGGGGTGCGCTGCTTCGCCAAGCGAGACGGCGAGGAGCCGAAAAGTGACACACAAAGCGGCAGGAATCCGGCGGCACGAGGGCGGGATTTGACGGAGAGCATTTTGCGCGACCTCAGTCGCGGCTTCATGACGCTTACGCCGGAGTGGGTGGCGTGGTCCACCCCCTGGGCGAGCCAACATCTGCGCGGCTACAGTCGACTGACGGCCACCGCAGATGCACCCGTTTCTGCGGGCGCATCCGCCTCCCCGTGGGCTGAGGCGGCGGCATCAGGTGGAGAGCCTGCGGTGGGGCCCCTGCGAGGGACGCGGCGTAATGCATTTCCCATGATACGAAGGACGCTGCCACTGCCCATGCCAAGGGAAAGGACGACGGCGGAACGCGTGGCGTCCGCAGTTGCGCATCTGTGTCGTGGTGTCAAACGCGCCTTGCCGTCAACATTGACTCGACCGAGGTAGTGATGCATTGTTTCCTTTTTTGTTTCCACCCCACCACCCTGCTTTTAAAGGTACAATTTCCGAGTCTTCACAGTATTGGTGTATACGAGGGACTGGTGTGAGCCGCCTTCCTGCTTCGCTAGGCGTGGTGCATGCACGCATGCATATATTTATTTGCTGGAAGGAAAAGATATATTATATCGAGTAGATGCGTGTGCTCTCAAACGCAGAGTCATGGATTCTTTTTTTTATTATTATTCTTATTTATTTTTGTCCTTTTTTTCCCCCCCCTCCCTCTCTGTCGTTGAGGTTTTGCATTTTGACTGTCAACTACCTCTCCCGTTGCCACTCGCCTTCGGCGGTTGTGTCGTGCCGCGCTGCGCAGGGGGAGGGGATTTTTAGCGGTGGGAGGAGGCTCAGCGGCGGGGGGCGCAGGCGACGATGTCCCTCTTTCGGCGCGACGCGGTTCTCCGCGCGTACCACTACGTGCACCCCAAGTCCGGCAGGCCCATCCGCCAGTTCCGCCGCTACGGCGACCCGCGGTTTATCAACAACGAGGCGGCGCTCATCAGGGGGCAGTGGGGCCTCGTCACCGCCGACTTTGGGATGGTCACGCAGTCGCAGCTTGAGAACGCGCGACTGGCGATGCTGCGCCGCCTCCCGCGTGGCGGGTTTACGCTGACGATGCACACCGACTACGAGGAGTTTCCCGTCGTGAAGAAGAGCCCGGAGAGCCGAATGGGGGCGGGCAAGGCAAACATCCACCACTTTGCGTTCAAGTTCACGACGGGGATCCCGCTGTTTGAGATTTCGGCGGTCTCCTCGCGCCGCCTCAACCAGGCGGAGGCGGAGGGCATCTTTTTGGCCGGCAGGGCGTTTATTCCGCTGCAGACCGTCGTCGTGCCGCAGGGCCGCGTCGACGAGTACCACGTCTTCAGGTAGAGCGGCAGGAGGGGGGGGGTGGCAGTGCGTTGTTGCAGTTGCAGCCCGCGCCCCCACCCCTAAGAGAGAGCGAGAAATGTTAGGGGAGTTGCGGTGGTGCAAGTGCCCGCAAGTCACACTGCCACGAAGGAAGGCGGCAGGCGGGGGATTTGATGCCGAGGCCGCTACGCAGACGCTTTTGCAGGTCTTGTTTTCTTTTTACTTGACTGCCTTCTTTGCTTGCAGCGGCCCTTTTCTCACGCGGCATATATTATATACATACATATGTAATCTCTCTGTCTGTGTGTGTGTGTGTTTGTGTCTCCCTTCTTTTTTTTCTCCTGGGCGTGCTTGTGTTTGCCGCCGCAGCTCTCTCTCTCTCTCTCTCTATCCCTTCCTTCCTTTCTTCCCTTGCGCGTGTCCCTCTGCCCGTGTGCTTCTGCGTCTGCCTCACCCCGGGAACCGCCAGCAACACTAACGAGGAGAGTAACTTGTGAAGTTCACGCTCACCCACACGCCTAACACACTCGCGCACGGTAAAGGGAGCGAGTCGAATCCGCGAGTAACAGAAACAGCAAGCAACAAAAGAGGAAATAAGAAGAAGAAAAGAAAAAACACAGGGCACGCCTGCACCCGCCTTTGCTGTGGCGGCGGAAAAAGCGAGAGGGAGAGGGCGAGAAGCAGCAGCGGGGTGAGGGGGAGACGAAGGGCCCAAGGCGGAGTGCGCGAAGTCATTCGGGCATACGCACACGAGGAAGAAGAAAAGCAGGCAGGTTAGGGAAGCACACACACACACGCACATATATATATATATATATACCCGCGCACAGTTGGCTGTATATATTACAGGGCAGGGAGGAGAGGTGGAGGAGGAAGAAAAGAAAACCGCGGCGAGAGGCAAAGGCGCACACGCACAGGCACGGCATGCCTTTTGGACGGTCCGATTCCTTCACGGAGGGCAGCATAAATAACAATAACACCTACAGTCCCGGCAAAGGCGTGCAGAATAAAATGGACGGCGTCACCACCACTTCCGCCAGAAATGGGTCGCAAAGCCCACCAACGTCATCGTCGCATCACGGCCTGGTCGATGACAGTCCCGACCAGCGGAGCCTGGAGCTGATGAATGCGATGACGCCAAGCGTGGGCACGCCTCGTTTTGGGCAGAACGGCATTGTCAACATGGGCGACTGGAACTTGTCCCCCACCAGCCTTTCAATTCCGCTAAATTGCGCCACCCCACCGCCCGCGGCAAGGTTAGGACGCACCACGTCGGCGCTTTCTTCGTCGTTGCAGCGGTATTGCCATGATCCGTACTCGCTGAGTGGGTCCCAGCGTCTCAGTCCGCAGTCGAATCCTATGAGCCACGCCGCGTCGCCGCCGGAGTGTGCCATTCCATCACTCTCGCTTAGCCACCTTCACGACGATGTGACGGGGCCGCTGCCCATCGTGACAGTTATGGCGGCTGTGCCAAAGGAGCGAAACGAGACCCGTGGACGGCGCAAGGGGCGCAACGGCGACCACTCGCGCAACAGCAAGGTGCTGGCCGACGTCCCACCCCCGCGGGTCATGCGGTACCTGCCGCCGCCGCCTCCAGGCATAGACAACGTCACCTCCCGCATACTCTCGCTGGAGGATCTACACCCCATCGCAAAGCGGTGGTACGACCGAACGATTGCGGCTGAGGCTAGCTACAGTCAGCGTCTTTCTGCCTCTGTTTGGCTGCCACCGTTTGTGCCAATGACGCAGCAGCGACCCCTTATTGCGACAGGGCATGCGCTTTTGTGCCCACGTGTAGAACATTACCAGAACAGCTTTTGGCAGTGGCTGGCCGACGCAGAGCGGTGGTGGGAGAGCGCCGTGCGTCCACACACGGGGATTTCGCTACCCCTGCCACCTCCATACCTCTTTGGTGCATGAAAGCAGATGGGAATAGATAAGTAAATATATATTTCTGCATGTCTCCGGGCCGATGTGGTGGCTTGAGTGCAGTGGCTGGCAGCTGTGTGGGGGCGAGGAGCAAATGGCGGCGAAGCGGGGTGCGGTGGAAGTGTTGGCGGTGGACTACAGGGAAGGCAAAGGACTCACCGGCCAAAAGAACAACAAAACAGAAACACAAACAAAAACAAAAAATGAAGGCACGAGAGGAAGCAGCTGTGGTGGACGCGCCGACGCCACCCATTCGTCTGCCTTCGCTCCGTTATCTCTTTCTTTGTTGCGTGAGCGTGCGTGCGTGCGTTGTGTGGCTTGTGGCTGAGTAGCGGAGGCTGACGGACCTTCTGCTTCTGCCGCTGTGCTCGTTTCACACGGCACGGCGGCGGGCTGGGCGTAGTAGCGGCGAGGACGCAGCGACGATGTCGAGTGGGGCGGGCAGGGGACGCGGGTGGGCGGGGGGTAAGAATGAAACCTCTAAGAAGGGCGAGAACTACTTTTCTTTTAGAAGAAAAAAAGAAGAAGAGGGAGAGTAAATAAACCCATGAAAAAAGTCAAGAAGAGATGAAAGAACACCGCGGGCATACATGATTACATCTGCAAGGGCGTGACGCGCGGGGTGGGAAGCGGCACGACGAGGGGCAGCAAACGATCAGCTGGCGAGAAGGACGAAGAGAATCGGAGGAGCAAAGGAGAACAAAAAAAAATTGGGGGTGGGGGGATGACAACAAACACGGCGCAGTCCTTTGGTTGTTTACATGCACCGGACTGCGCGCATGGATGCGAGATGGGCGGCGGACGCGGCGGTGCTCACGGGGGAGGCATGGGGCGCAGTTGTCCGCAGTGCGTGGTCTCTGGCCCAGCGGACCGGCCACGCGACGGCGGGAGTGGTTGAGCGCAAGTGCATGTGTTCTCACGCGTGGGCACAGCCGCAGGCCTACTTCCTCGCATTACCCGCCCTCGTTACTTCTCACTCTCCCTCTCTCTCCCTCTCTGTCTCTGTCTCTGCGTCTTTGCGTGCCTTCCACGCAGCGGCGGCGCCCACGAAGAAGCGATAATGATTACAACAGGCGTCCCTTGAAAGACAACCCCTCTCCGCTACCCCCTTCTCGTCAGGGAGGCGCACATGCTTTCCCTTGGCTTTCTGTTGTTTTTTTTTTTGTGGCGGCTCCTCGGGAACCGCAGGC